GACAACACAGCTTGCGTGATTTGAATTTCCGAAGGGAATACAGGTAGTTGTACGGCATCAGCAACTGAAACCCATCTTTTCCTGGTAGATGCCTTATGATGGATAGGTTTTTACGTCTTTATGCAATTACGAACTTCTTTTGATTAAAGTTTCGGTTTTTTGATTTTTTTGCTATTATTACTTGAATGCGAAGAGCAAGTAAACGTGCAGTGTCATGTCGATTATCCTTTTGCATTCATTCCCGGAATCAAGAGGGCATCATTCGGAGCAAAGAAGCCAGCACTGGTTCGGCTCTTATTACTGTGCAACGTGATAAGGGAGAGAATCGGATAATTGTAGTTCCAGGATCCAACATGCTCCTGTCCACCGCGGATATAGATCACGCTGCGGCAGAGGGATTTCTGGACGCTCGTGTGGTAGTCTGCCAATTTGAGGTATGTATACAAACTAACAGTCGCTTTTCGGGACATCGCATTATGGTTGACCTTTGCGACGCTAGCATCACGGCTAACGTACTGCACTATGGACTAATTTTAGTACAAACCGACATCTATTTTTAGATTGAACGCTCTTTATCGTACAGCTACACATGATTTTTTACATGCATGTAAACTGTTCATATGATTGCGATAGGGTTAGCTTGAGATTTACTTTCCCTCCGGTTCTGTCTACGGGTTACCGGACTATTAACCGTTTTCGTTTTAATTAGTATGCGTAACCCGCTGATCAAACGAACAACAAAAAGCATCACTAAATAAAATGCGACCAATGAAAGAATAACAAAAACAAAATGGCGCAAGAGTGGTGCTGTTCCCAACGGGCTGGGGTACCAACCCCAGAGTTGATGAATCTGATTATATTCAATACATATGGATTTCAAACCGTTAGTCATCATTTGGCCCTGTTACTAACAGCTTTTTTCTTGCTCTCTCTCTTTCTACATATATATAACACTTTTTTATGGGCCTTAATCTTATTTAATTCTCTAGCTTATCCATACTACCGACCTGGAATTCATATGAGCGTCTGAAATAAAGTTTGTGCTATTTTGGGGAAAAGCGCTCACTAAACATCACACACTTTCAACTGGTTGCAGATCAGCGGAAAATCTACCCTTCATGCTCTAAAACTGGCTCGCCAAAAAGGAAGGATGACTATTCTGAACCCAGCACCACCACCAAATAAAGCCCCGGGGAACGCCGAGTTACTTCCAGAAATGCTCAAATTGTGCGACTATTGTTGTCCCAACGAAACCGAGGCACTACAGTTAATAAGTTCTGCAGGAGACAAAAATGATACCTCAGCGGGGATAGGGTCAATAGACAGCTATTCCCACTGCTTGTGTTGGCTCGCTGAACACGGAGTAGTAAACCCCATCGTTACAATGGGTTCCAAAGGACTGGTCGCGTTGGCTGCCAAATCATCTATTCCGGTCAATTTGACAAAAGATGTGTCCGTTGTGCGAGACGTTGTAGTCAATGGCCAGAAAAAATGTGTCGTACATGTGGACGCTCCGCATGTTCCCAAAGTGATTGATACAACAGTGAGTTATTCTTCTATTATCACTCAACATGATTTCTATTCAGCTAGCACAAAATGTTAAAATTAAAAACTGTGGAGTTGCGGTTTTTGCTCCCTATAAAACAACCTCATTTCAACAGTAAAACACGATCTCTCAGTAATTTCATCTAAACAAAATAGGTCAATATTTTTTATGCCATAGAAAAAATGATGTATTACAAGTCCCCTCAAAAAACATACCGTTTCAGGGCCGGTTGATGAATAATTGTTATTCATTTCACATTCTAATGAAATATCAGTCTTTTTAGGAAAGAAGCTTTCCATCGCATACTTTCTTTTGAACATTTCAATTGAGGTGACAAACTAGCAATTGCGAAGCGAACGGAAGTCATTAAATATCAAACAGCTCTCAGTTTTAAACACTAAACTTTTAGATTGTGTTATGTTAGTGGAGAAGTAATAGAACAAGTGCATGAATTTTGTTATTTGGGCAGCTATATCTCACCCGGTGGACACATCACGGATGAAGTGTCTGCTTGTATACAGAAAGCTCGGTTGGCATTTGCCAACTTGAGACATCTGTGAGCCGTCGCAACATCCGGCTGTCTGTTAAGGGTCGAGTGTATGCCGCTACCATTCGGCCAGTTCTGCTTTACGGAGGCAGAAGCTTGGCCATTAGGGAAGCAGGATAAGATGGACTGTCGGTGTTTGAACAGCGCTGACTACACAGCATTGCACAAATCTGGTGGGGCAGCCGGACGAGCAATGCTGAGGTTACGCGAAGAGTTCTAGGTAACTGCGATCGCCCACTGAAGCAAATGGTCGACCCCCATAGATTACGTTGGTTGGGTCATGTGTTGCGCATGACACCAAATAGGTTGCCACGGCGAGTGATGTTTGCCGAGGCAGGTGGTGGGTGGAATAAAGCCTAGGGTGGTCAAGCTAAGACCTGGCACGAGGGTATGAAAACCCTAACCAGGAGACTGGGTTACATAGGTCCTGTTAGGTTCCCTGGTTGGGGACCTCGGGATAATCGCGACCGACGATGATATGGCTGTCGTAAACAGTGCCGTTCATGCATCTTCTCAATTTCTTTGCAACCTGGAACTCCATTTTATATTCCACTCTAGTTTAAACCTTACTGTTTTTTCCCCTTCATCCGAAAGACAGCAACCAAAACCGGCGCACGAATGGTTAATAGTTGTTCAAACTGAATCTACGTATTTCAGTGCTGCGGGCAGTATGTGATGAAAACTCAAACTCTATAGCTGTAAGAGACAAACAAAGACGGAAATAAAAAAATATGGATAAGAGCGAAGAGACAGCTAAGATTTTCCTCGCCAAAGCTGGGTGACGCTGGCTGGGTTCAAACTTTCTACCTCAAGGTGGGGAGCACTTCGAAGACAGCGGCNAAACGCTTGATCGCCACCACCGCATGCATAAGTGATGCTGACCGCCGACATCACGAAATATCAGCTTAATCCAGATATTCTTGGCATGCGTCAAAATGGATTTGCTGGCAAGCGCCAACTAGTACGTTAACCTTGGTGCATATATAATCAGAGGAATTGACCCTAAAACATTTTTATTACTGCATCTATTCTTCTACTGTGGTCACTTCGCATTCAAAACACTCCAGAGATTGAGCAAATATTTATCGTCGCTTATCTTGTGCCATAGCCAGTATCTCTTTCTAACTTCGTATCGTTATCCCCGACCTGCATCCCCAAACTTGCTTTGGAACTGCCACCAGGGAGCAGGAGATTGTTTTGTGGGCGCATTTGCTTATTTCCTTGCTTGTCATGAATCTATTGGATTGGTGGAACAATTGCGACGGGCGGTTTGGGTAGCCAGTAAATCGGTGCAAAAACGTGGAACTCAAAGCAGCTTTCCCAAACGAAAAGACTTGCCCCCGGCTTTGTTTGAATCAGGAGTTTTTCAATGCTCGGAATACTGAACTCCGCAAGCTGTGATATTTATTTTACCATACCAACCCAAGGAATCAATGGATTGTGATTTTTAACGACTGCTTCTAATGTTTTGATTCAGTAGATTCTCATTAATTTCTTTCTAATAAAACTTATTTCATAATAATAACCGTTGGTTTTCCTTTCTTAATAAATTTTACTAAAAAGTCTATCATTTCCCGTAGTCTTTATATATAGCAAACAAAGGAGTGAGCATTTATTCGAATGCTTCATATCAAATCAAAATCAGCCAATCAATCGAGAGAATGAAAAAGTTTGGTACCTTCGAAAATGAACAATCACATTAGAAGAAATTAACACGACAGATTGAATCATATTTGTTCCAGTTTTACAAGTATCAAATGAGTTTCTCGGTGAAAAGGCGCACGAATAATAAATAATGATGGACAGGGCAACACCGATGCAATGTCATGATACCAATTGATTTCTGCGTTATGCCTTTCGGTAAACTTACACAGCTGCTTTTCGATGCCCTCTAATTTGGGCGAAAATCACATGCACAGCTTTAATGCAAATTTTCACAACTGAAGTACAGCTTTATTGGCACATGTTAATGGAAGTTTCACAGACAACTCTCTCTTTTATTATCAACTTCTGAATCCAGCATCTGCACATCTCTCGTGTACATGCTGTTTTCGTCTGACGGAGCAAATTTCAATGGTGGATAAAGTGAACAAACTGATTTATCAAAATTTCATCTGAAAATAATGTTTCACCCGCTTTTTCTTCAATGAATATACACTTTAACAGTTCATTTTCAAGAATGGGGATCTGACCAATCAATGGCTGTATGGGGGAATACAGAAATGGTAAAGATGAGTGGTGGAAGGGTTCGAACCCCAGAGCTTCAGTCCTACATTTAGATTACCTTAACCACTCGATCAGCACATAGTTACTGGTTGAACCGTTTAATCGGTCAAGTCAAGTATGTGCTATGCTTGTGTACCCGAAAGGTGAATATCCAGCAGCTACATAGCCGAAGCAGAACCAATGTTGGTTCATTTAGATGTGCTTGAGGGTACATGAATAGTTGTCCATACTGCATGTGTTTTTAACTACAAGGCGTTTGATAGAATGTGTCCAGTGTGTGTGGGTTTGAACTTGGTGCATGTGGTTTGACGTGTGGTGTGGTGTACTGACTATATGTATCCTCTGAAATTAATCGTTATTTCACGAAGAGCTCATTTGGCGCTATTCCAGAAACGGTTCAGGAATTCAGTAAACCGAAAAAGGTAATCAGCAGAAATATTATGTCTATCTGCCTTTATGTAAAAGGGGTAGATCGCGATAGCCACTTCATGATCATATCACGAGATCTAGTCACTGAAATTGTTATCCACTGAGTTTAGACAACAAACTCAAGCAAAGGTTCATGTTCACTTTGACGCGTGTAAACGGTATTGGGTTTATCGATCTATCAACCTCAAGTCCTGGGTAAACGAAGGGTCAGACCTTCACCTTCGAAAGTTTTTTCGGTGAGTGGTTCATTCACACAGAACTTTTGTTTGGTAATGGAAATATCGAGGCAATCCGAAGACCCTTGGCAATTGATCGAGTACAATTCAGACGAGAATGAAGGAACGCAATTGACCTGACTCTGTAGGGCGATAAAGATATTCGCGATATTGTAGGATAGTAGATAGAACCGAAGTGTTGCATCGTGAAGTGTATGACTAGAGTGTACTGTATCAGTAAAAAAATACTAAGCTTGGTGCTGAACACGTAAAGTTCAACAAAGTCAAAATCGGAATAGCATGTAATTGTACATCACGAGGTTAGCATTCATTATGCATAGGTATAAAATACGATATTCGTAAGAATATATACAATCATCGCAGATATGTGAGTTGAATGGTTAGCCATGAAGTTTAACGTGGAAATCTGGCCCGCAGGTCTATATGTCCTTTTGTTTTAGAGCCCGTATCATTAATACTTGATGCATTTGAAAGTTTATCAAGGTAATTAATGACGCTTAAAGATAGAGGAATCGTAAGTGCAAATTATTCAGTATGTTCTGAAAGTTCTACTGGTCAGGTAACAAAAAGAAGATTGATTTGAGGGGAATACGTGTGACAAGTTGATAATTATTGGGCCATAATGATCACTTTGCCAGGGATTTAAGCAATCGTTAACGTGGAAATTGTGGACATGCTCAAATGGTGGTCGGTGAAACCGTTGGAAATTTCAGAGGACTGATTTAAAAATGAGAATAAAGGAATTTGTGGACGCGATAATGCTTACCCCTAATGTGACAGAATGCGTTACTACACTATCGAACTCAAGGCATTTTTCAAGGACTTTCAATTGCGAAAAAACGGAACCATTAAAGGGAAAATAACTGGTAGATCTTATCGAAACCGAATGCTGCCAAGCCTCAAACTAGTTAGTCGGCAAACAAGGTTGTGGGAAGGAATTTTCATTTCTTTCCCACACACTGTACAAGCAATGCTATTGTTTCTTTTGTAAAATTGGGTAATACAACTTAGTATTCAGTGGATCACCGAGCTTGACTGCCAGATCGAAAATGCTTCATCGCTAAAGGAAGTGAAACTCTCAATGCAGCAATGGAGAGAACCTACGAGTGTCCATTTCCCTACATTGCTGAATGACTGCATTGAGACAGCATGGCGTTCTCTGACTGGTTGTTTCATATTGCAACGACAGGAACAGATACACCAAATAGATAACATATACGCTCGCAGATTCGTTAAATGGCAGCTTAAACAGCGCAGGGAGTAAGGACAGATAGAAAACAGAACAAGCCAACAAAATAAAAGGTGCCTTCCAAAGGATAACCAGAATACTCAAGACAATTTTGAAGCTGCGAATTAATAACCACCCAATAGATATTTCTTTCAAAAAGCAAAATTTGACTAGAGAGTGAGAATCGAACAAGTGTAATGTCTAGAACCAGACTCTGTTGTGCCATAAAATTGACTGATCAGTTTATCACGCATGCCTGTGGCCGGATTCATTGATTGATTGACAGATGCTATCTGGTAGCACACACGCGATCTAACTTTATTACAATATCGATCGGCTCCAGCCAATCAGATGTTACTATTGGACTGTTCCCATGCTGATCGATTCGTTAACTGTTTGAATACCAACTTGAATGCATTCGGATATCGAGCGACGCTTGAGTCAGTTGTTGGCCTGCCTGCATTCCTAAGTGTAGCCCACTCCCACTTGTTCATCGGCCTAAGAACCGGTTCCATGTGTCTACTGCAATAAACGCACTGCCTATTCCCCTGCGTCTTTATCTACCCACACAACAGACTCAAAAAAAACGAAGGCCAACGGGGACGAATTCAATTTCAGAAACGTCCCAGTTGTTAATCACAACCGCATTAAAAATTGGACTGAACTCCTCGAAGCTTGACAAAGTCCACCTCAACGGTCAAGGAAAAAACGAAGCGATGATGCAGGCCATAAGAGAAACAGTGGAACGATTGACCGACGAAACATTTATGGTGCCCACTTCATCAAACATTGTTGCAAGGAGAATAAAAAAGCATTCAAGGTGAAAACGCAACGATACTTTACATCACTTGCTTAAATATGTATCATAATGAACTTCTGTACGCTCTTGCCCAATGACGACACTGAGAAAACAACCTCGGTTAGTGATGAAACGTTCGGAATTGGACTGTCAAGCGCGGTGACTAGCTGCTGTCCACCAATTCAGCGCACATCTTCTGACTGTAATGCAGTCGTGTGTGTGAACGTCTACCAATGTGATACGCTGCATTAAATTATGCGCTTTCTGGGGTTGAGAAAGACGAACAACCGATTCAACTCACGAGTGAGAGACTCATTGGTCACACTTGGGGTGGTGGTGGTTGTATCACGGATTATGATGAGATTTTCGGATTACGACAGGACTGGACTGGCTCTGACGGTGGAAAAAGAAACGAGTCATGCAGTGAGCTTAAATAACCATTGGACCTACATTTTTTGCAGCAGTTTTGGTTGCTGACATTTAGCATTTCGTTCGGATGCGGAAGGAGAGAGACTAAGGAGAAACCTGGGAGCAGAACGAAGGTGAAGGCAGAGATTTACGTGGAATAGGAAACTGGGTGGTTGCATGAGCGCCGCTGATTACGATAGTCCAACATTTCACTCAGTATCTCTCCCCATTATTTAGTTGATCACCAGACAGCTGCTAACACCGATCATAGTTTCATTGCAGATCCCAAAAGCCAAGTTTTATGATGAACTAACCCACAAGTTCAGTTCACTTTACACAAAGACTAACCCTACGCCGGTTTTTATTACCCATCTGGTTAAACAGTGAAGGGCTAAATGACAGCAGTGAAATGTTCAGTGCGGAGCAAAGATAACAACACAAAATGCAAGTAGACCAGAGGTGTGTAAAAATTGAATAGATGCACCGATGACAGTTCAAAACATTCAACCATAAGCTGACGCATTTCTGACAGGCTCATCGGAAATTTGCTAGGCTAGTTTTGTAAACAACTTAAACGAAAGACCTATGTAATTACAAGTGTCATAACATAAGATGTCTCAATGCCTTATCGAAACAATTGTTGAAAGAATCGACTGTAAAAACAAGAACACGAGACAGAAGACAGACCATGGTATGACGGTATTCTGAGTGACTTCTTTGAAGCAATAACTTCAACAGACGCCCTCTGAGACGGGGATTTCCAGAATAAGTTAGCCTAGTACTACACAGACCGTTCGAATCTCACAATACACGACTTAGAGCACCCGAGATTTTCGATATAGGCCTTGAAATGCAATGATTCATTTACTTTGGTTACCATTAGAGAGATACATCCGAATTGTGACTACGGTTGAGAAGCATTCACAATATTGCTGCTTCATAACAAAGGCAGAACGAGTAAAATACAATGAGAAATTCTGCAACCGATAACCTCAGGTTATAGGCAATCGAAAACAAAACGAACATTTATATCAGCATACATGCATTTATGATGGTTGATTACAGAGCACGAGAAATCGCAAAGTTCTGTACAAAAACATGAGTATATCGTAATCAACATGGCGCTCATCTGTGACAATTAATCTGAATCACTATCCGCCGTTCGTTTTGGCTTCTTTCCTCCCGGTTTCTTCACAGCTGAAATAGATAGGAAGAAAAAAAGTGTGACAAATTGTGGTGAAAACAGGAGCTGTCGGTTATAGAGGAAACATTACAAGTTTCTCGTTCATTTATGAAAGAGTGTAACCGAACAGTCGGACCTTACTGATTAATTGGTGAACATTAGAAATGTGACTGAACGGACATTGGGGTATGTCCGGAAATGCGTGTCGGAACATAACTGTTTTTTTTACAAGTACGTACACAAACAAAAACGCACCCAAACCAATTTGATTGAATTCAAGCTCGACTAAAAGCTGGACTGCTGACAATTACAATCAATCAATTGATACAAACTCGAACCGTCGTTCGAACCCGTACATATAAAAGGGGTGAATCGATACCGACAGGCGAGCATGAACGAAGGCCAAAGTTTATTCGTCTCTACGTACAGATTTTCACCAAACCCCTTGATTGAGGATGATCGGAAGCGAGGACCGGCAGGGGGGAGGGGAATCCAACGACACCAGTGCGACAAACGACTGGTGCAACCAACACTGCTTAGCAAAGATGATAATCAATTCAGCGTGAGCTGGATTCAAAAACAATAGCTGGACACTTCCGTGGAGAGAAAGGATTTATTCCCTTCTCCTGCTTGTTGAAGTGGACAACGACACATCATCAACCGAGGCAGAGGATATATCAAAGATGTGGTTAGGTGGTGAAGTCTATGGGCTTCATCACCAACTAAGGAAAATTGTGAGGCTCAATATGGATTACCTTCTGCGCTTTTTTTGTTATTCTGGAAGTATTTAATGAATGTTTGAAACTGAGCAAAAGCCACACCCACGAAAAGATTGAAAGTGAAAGCCGACGACACAAGAGCAGCCAAACCTGGACCAGATTGAAGTAGCTCCGATGAACAAGCAGATGCCGTGTTGTTTTACACGTTTTGTTTTACATATGTTGAGAGACGAAGAAAAAGATAGATGATGTCATATGATGCCTTGATATGTCTAATCACACCCTAACTATAATACACAACATCTACAGAGAATGTGCGCACCAATTCCGAAGGTATGCATTGAAGCTCTATCGGATTCAAACAACTGCTAAATCAGCTTTGAAGTTTACCGCGTTGTTAAGGTCATGCGACTTGTCTGAACAAGTGACATCGACCTTGAAACGGAAACCTATTTTAGCGACAATAAGTATGATACTCTGAATGGCAATGTACAAGTGCATGTAGAGTACTATTGGGGAATTAGAACTTTTCCAAGTAAAACATGGAATAGACAACACCAGGAGGCGGAACATGTCGGTAAGCGGAGAGCAAATTGATGTATGTGACAGTACAGAAAAGAATCAACACATATGAATAACCCAGCGAACCTATAGCGATTTATTCATTTTGCGCTATTTGCAACGACGTTTGCATTTCTGTATCCATACACTTGATCTAGTGGAGGGCGAAAAGAGGGAACAACGTGATCACAAGAATCTACGACTTATTGGTGAAGATGACGAGCCTGTCAATTTTGAACCTAAAGTACTAAATCGCATCGGATTCAAACAGGATAAATGTGGAACTGATCTCAGCCACAGCTAGGTTACCCATCACCAGAGTTACATGGCGGATCCCGAAACTGTTTACAGTGACCGAACCCAGCTGGATAAGAATGTACTGCACGTTTGCATAAAATCTGTCATTCCAGAATCGGCAGTGTATTAGACATAGCGGTAAATCGTTTTCTTTTAGACAAAAATGTACTACCCTACTACTACTATTCCTTCTCGCAAGGACTTAGTATCAACCAAATGAAAGAAATTACAGGGGACTGAAAGCCAGTGACAAGCAACCTGAGACTAAAGACCATTCAGAAAAACTGCCACACGAACTGGGAATAGCGAACATATCAGTTTTAAATTTTTACAAGCATTAACCTCGCAATTTCGCGCACGAGTTTTGCTTGCTCTTTCTTGTTTCCCATATGTGTAAAAGAGCAGATAGAGGATTCATATAGATTGGGGTAGCAAGAATATTGAGTAGATGCACGAGCACCACTGTCCACGACACTCAGCCATATCACTTAGTGCCTCTAACCATTGGTTGCCAGGATCTCGCGACCTCCTATCCAGGGAGCCGACCGGAAGTTACATAAACCAGTCTTTTGGTTAGAGGTTTTCCGCTCTCGTGTTATGCTTAGCTTCACCACCCTTGGTCTCTGTCCTCCAGCTGCCTTCCTCCGCAAACATCACTCGCCGTGGCAACCTATTTGGTGACATCTGCAACATATATTCCAACCACCGCAACCTATGGAGGTTGAACACCTGCTCCAATGGACGACCGCGATTACCTAAAACTGCGCCTAACCTCAGCATTGCTTGCCCGGTTTCCCTACCAGACTCGTGCAATACTGCATAGACAGCGGTGTTCGAACACCGACAACCTATTTTTATCCTGTTCCCGTAGTTGTCAAGTCTCTGCAGTTTAGAGCACAACTGGTAGAACGGTGACATACACTCCACCCTTCATAAAGCTGCAGCCTTTTCCAGCTCTCTACACTTTACCATCCAGCGATCATTATCATCATTGTACAGCGCAATAAAGTGAAGCGAACTTCACTGATCGCTGCCAAACTCATATTGCATACAAGATGAGTGATAACGTGTAAGGAGGACAGGGATTGAACTTATTTTTAGGGACGGGAAAAGAAAGCGAACCACAGAGTAAACAGTCCAGCTATGCATACATACTATACAAGCATTCTGGTCTGAGAAGAAGTGACAGCAAGATCGCCATTGCTGTCGGTTCACAGTCATGACCTTCAGAGTCTCCAACCATGCTGTTTCGGAATCATTTGGACCCCAACCCGAAAGACGGGAGACAACTACTCTACCTAATCGCCCTGTGCATTTCTTTATGTCACGTCTCCATGTCATCTGCTGGTCTCCACATGGCTTTGTCCAACCTATAACAGCCACTGCAAACCAGGCACACTGCGGCAGGCGACCGTCGGATACACGTAGAACGTGACTTAACCAACGGAGCCTATTGAGCTGGATTCCATGAGCCATCGAGTTCTTGTTCGATGCATTCCCAAATACCCGAGGCAGGTAGTGGGTGGAATAAAGCCAAAGGCGGTCCAGCTAAGACCTGGCATGAGAGTATGAAAACCCTAACCAGGGGACTGGGTCACATAGGTCCTGTTAGACTCCACGGATGGGGACCTCGGGATGATCGTGACCGATGGTCGGAGACATTGAGTGATTTGGCTGAATGTCGTAAACAGTGGCGTTCGTGCATTTTCTCGATTTCTTTGCAACTTCATTTCATATTTCACTCGACTTTCAAGCTTCCTGTCTTTCCCATACTGTCCATCCAAATGGGCGGCCAAAAGACAGTAACCAAACCCGGCGCACAAAGTGCATGGTTAATGGGTGCTCAAACGGAAAGCAGAAGTATGCAAGGAGAGTGGCCACGATAGGATCATATACTTCTGCGGCATTTCTTTACGAAGGAGCGAACCCATAAGGGAATCTCAACTCTGGCGAATAAGTAATGAATGCGTGAATCATGAAAAGCACCGGGGTAGAAATTAGTAATTACCATGTGAATTCGTTCCTAACTGAAAATCAAGCTGCTAAATTGCAATGGTTTGTTTTTTTCGTTGAAGGTGTCATATCAGTAAGTGGAAAAGTTCGAGGTGGTAATCGAGGGCACGAATGACTTATGTAAATGCAGGTGACCAACTCACTAGGTTAGTCAATACGAGCTAATCTGACCGCACAAGATAAAGCAATTTGCGTTAGAACACCCACTTTTACGACACCACACTATCAGCAAACCGACGGTTGCTGAGAGAAACACTGTCGCTCGATACAACACCACAATTCTTGCTCTTTTGGGTTTAATCGACCAATCCACCGATATTATTTGGATTTCATCCGATGTAATACACATGTGTGAATACCACTTGAGAACGTAAGTCTTGCTTATGTTACCGGATAGTTATTCGAAATCAACATCAAATTGGAGCATGTTTCAGCTACGCAATCTTGAGTGGGAGGTGGGTGTAACTTGATCTGAGCGCTATGAGATCTCACAGAGCAGTGAGCATGAATGTTGTAATGATAACAACAAACGAACAAACGAAAAGAGTTTAATGCGACGGGAGGATAAGTACCTGCTCGGGCCTCTCGCTTGCGCTGCAACTTGCGCTCCAAGAACCAATCTGTACGACGAATGGAATTGGGTTGTATTTGTAGTTCCCCGCTGGCTAGCTTCTCTACTTTGTCTAACTGTGCCTGGGCAGCTCGAAGTTCTCGTTCTTCAGCCTCAGCACCCAAGATTTCCTCAACAGCGGAGTCCAGTTTGGATATCTTCTGCCGAAATCGAGTGATCACCTCTAGGGGATGAGACCGAAAAATCAGTAAGCCCGTGAAAAATTTTAATCTGACTGAAAATGTCACACAAAATGTGCAGATAATAAACAAATCCCGATCGATTATTGATTGGTAAATGTGCACAAAACACTGTTAAAAAGCATTTGAAGAGAGCACACAGCAACAGTATATTAGGTGTCGAGATTCAGACAAGTCTGCAGTACACCACAAAACTTAATTGGAGATAGGAAGTCATCGCAAGAGGTGAGCGAAAGAACGAATTTGAGTCTGTCAGACATTCCGTTGCACACAGAGCGAATGCAACGAGAACTGCAAACTGCAAGAAGCGTAGCAGAACCGTTTCGACGATGTTGGGTGCCATCAAGAGTACCAATTAATCGTCTTACAGGTAGCACGCAAGCATGCCTACTACCCACCTGACCAATATTGACCAGATCTTTCCACTTAGTCTGGGCGGGATATAGCACAACACACCTTTACAGGCTTGTTGAGGAAATTTCGCTTCGCTGATCTTACTCTTAGCCGAACCGAAAATCCAGAATGACGATTGTCCTAAATCACATTTTCAGTCGCACAAAAAAGTAGAATCAATCCATCTCTGTTGCAGAATTTCGTTTCATTGTCAGAAGTGAAACAGAAACTGGCTGAATGATATACGCGTCTCAAGGCTAAACAATGTTAAGATTTTCTAGTATGTTACTGGGCCAATCGAAGTGATGAAAAACTGAGGGAAGGAAACATTCTTTAAGTGGCGCATTGACACTGAATCAGTGTGAAAATTCACACACAATGGTAGCAATGGCAATGATAAAATGAAGCAACTAAGGGGTATAACCGGAGAATGTAACGCAATCATCGTATGAAAATAAAAATTCCTCAAAAATGATATCCATGCGCAATGCTAATCAACACACCTGGTGCAATCACGCGAGCTTGGACCGGATAGGGAGCTTCTTTCATGATTTGTTTTAGCAACTTTCTGTCAGACTCTCCGATAAGCGAAACAGCACTAGAGAGAAAAACGTATGTGAACAACAGTGAATGCGCAATCAAGCAAAATGAATGGTGTTGAACAATTTGAAAGCAAAACGGAGGATGTACATCGAAGTACTTTGTGAGCAACGATGCATCAATTGAGAAAAATACATTTGTGTAACGTTACATTCGATAGACCAGGTTCATAGGGATAGATGACATTTTTCAAACTATATCGTTACACACAATCCGCAATTGATGCAGTCAAGTATCAACATCTTTTAATGCATCACTGTTTACAAGCAACTGTGAGTTGAATGCGGATCACGCTGACTTTCTAGTTTACTGAGAATTGGGCTCGTGACTACTTGTGAGTAATGTAGTGAGATAAGTGCAACTACAGACAATGACAACCCTTCCCTCCAGCTTTATTTTCAAGGATGAACTTCAGTCCCCCCCCAATCAATCACACATAGGGAAACAACGGTGTGTACTCAAAAATAAAAAAGAAACAAACCGAAAGATGCAATTGAAACATTTGGACTGCAGGTGGTCAACCTTTTGTCCATCAACAGACAGATATCAACTAATCTGAGGGGTTATGATTGTTGCTATCCAAGTTGCTGTTTACGCTCCGCCACACACCGCTGAAAACAATACAAAGAATGTCAATAATTCAGTTCAGTCGCAGTTTTTACAATTATAAACCAGGCACTTTCATGGGCCGGTTTTGACCGCCAATTTCTTAGAAGCAGTAGCGGGAAGACAGGAAAGTTGAAGTAGAGTCAAAGCGAAAAAGGAGCATTTCAGTGGACTAAGTTGCAAATAAATTGAGAAGATGGACGAACGGCACCGTTTAAGACACCCAGACATATAATCCATGGTCTCTAACTATTGATTACAATGATCTCGCTGTCCCCATCCAGGAAGCCTCCTCGTTAGGGTTTTCATACCTTCGTGCCAGGTCTTACTTTGATCACCCTTTGCTTTTGTTCACTCAGTACCTGTCTCGGCGAAAATCGCTCGCCGTCGCAACCTAGTTGGTGACATGCGAGACATCTACCCCAACCAACACAATCTATGGAGGTGGATCAATAGAAAGATTGTAATTCTGTAATAGCAGAGTAGCCATCCGACAGAGGACAAAACTATCGACTGTTCGGTAGTACGTCGACGTTTCCGGAACGTTGTTGCACCAACTGTGGACCCACGAGCCAAGAAAACATTGAGAAAGTTGTTAAGAAATTGGAGGACATTGAGTTGCATGGAAAAATAGACCATCGCCGGAGAACGGCAACCCCTGTCTCACAACGATAATAGACCCACTGAGTGAAATGTTTTGCTCCATATGGAACTAGAAAGTATGTTCATCGGATTGAGGTACGGCTCTTACCGCCGATCGAGAAGAAAGGCTGCAAATCAGTGTGCGACCATTACAGATGGATCACATTGGTTGGTGTAGTTGTCAAAGTTTTACCTAAACTTTTGCTCTCCCCATTTGTGTGTGCAAGATATGCATCACTAGGTCGAACCGAGAAAGCTTCGGGTGCGGATGAAGTTGTGTTGAACAAATTTTCACACTACGCCAAGGACTGGAGAATCGCTCTATGTACCGAAAGCCCAGTGCAACTTGCTTTATTACCTTCCGCGTTGCCTTTGAAATCATCAACTGAAGTGCATTATGGACAACACTGAGAAACGATGGAGTAATAGATACGTTTGTGAGATTGTTGAAAGCTACCATTCATCTACACGGGCACGATTCTGTTTATACGGTGCAGAATCGACCGGCTTAATTTCGGAGAAACACAAGGCTACCCACTTCCTCTAATGTTATTTACCTACACAATTGACTGGACAGTGATGAGAGGGCTCGCCGACCACCACTGTGTCAAGCAGGGTCGGAACATGTAAACGTTGCACCGAACCAGAAGTCCCAAAGGTTTTTTCAACAGTGATCCGATAAAAAGATCACATTGCTTAAACTTATTTAAAGTTGGAAAAATTCCAACTGGTCAAGCGAAAAAAGAGATAGTCCTAATGTAACGAGAAGGTGAGTCGGCTGGCAAAACGTTTATTTATCCAATTCAAAAACAACCGGTGTATGCGTTTGATTATATACAATCAATTCTCAACCGCACGGTAGGATGATTAATGCCTCATTCTGTTGGTTTGGGTCCGCACTTGGCACATAAGTTTCCTCTTCTTCCGCGTGCCGTTCCTACTAGTTTGACCCGATCGTAGTGCGAGATACGTTGGTCGACAGCTCTGACGTTGTGGTATTAGGTGGATATCTTTCTCGCCAGATGCGGATTATCCGTCTGGCTGTAATTGTCGATTCGTTCATTTCGAGTGGTAGTCGACATTGTCTCGCGAAGTACTTTCAGCCGCTACATATGCACACCTGATTGGATCGGCCCTATTCTTGATTTGTTCGCTAGCCGGGACTCTCTTTGTACCACCTTCCATCACACTCGCCCGTCCTTTAAACTAGTTGCCACTCCAATTCTTTACCATTTACCCATCCCCCTTGAAGACCCTGGTTGATCTGAAAACTGGTGTTCTTCCGCTTGTGAAATGGGCCCATCCACCTCTGCTTGAACTTTCCGGCCCACGGTCCGGTTGTTTCGGGTCTGCCTTGATTCTTAACTTTTACTTGCTGTCCCGGTACGAACGGTTGCCACTTTTGTGATAGGTGTTCTTTGTTGTACCTTGCCTTGTTGCGCTACTGGGTTTGCCTGGTTCGCTGAACCGCTGCTCTCTCCAGCTTATTTCGCTTCTTCGTGGAAAGTTATTCTCTAGATCTGCCGAGAAGCGCATCCAGAGGAGTCCTGGGTTCTCAATCGTATATGATTTCGTGGGCTGGTATCTCCGTTATCGAATGGGATGTGGTCCTGTAGTCGAATAGGATTTCCGATAGGCTTTCTTCCCAATCACCGCGATGGTTATTGAGCAATTTCTTCATTGTTCTGTTGAACAGTACAGTTATTCCGTTGGTCTGCGGATGATAGGGAGACGTTCTTGTTCGTTTGATGCCCCAGCGGTCTAAGGTCTTCCGAAAAATCTTGGATTCGAAACACGGCCCCTGGTCGGTAATGACATTTTCCGGGATGCCGAGTTGTGCAACCACATAGTTTATAAATATCCGAGCAACCGTTTCTCCTGTTTGATCTGAGGTTGGTACCGCTTCTATCCACCGCGACGTGAGTTTGACCATCACAACAATGTACTCGTTCCCCGTTGGACTAATAGGTAGAGGTCCAAACGCATCCAGTCCCCAGGTTTGAAGTACTCTCTAGGTGTCTATTGGTTGCATTGGCGGTGTTGATGGCGTCGTATATTTATTATGCTGGCACTCGGGATAAGAACGGATGTATTCAATTACATATCGACGCATTGTTGGCAAGAACACACGACGTCGTAATGAATCGAGATGTTATTCTTTCGAGACCAGATAAAGACGCTGGAATTTTCCTTTAAAATACATAAGGCTACATCAACAAAATGAACAGCGATACCAGAAAATTTCAGAAAGTAGCTGGGGAGAAAGATAAAACAGACCAAACAGAAAAGTATATATATATATATAACACCAATCTTCACAGATGCAGCGCCAAAAATAACCATGGGTTAACGAAATATGGGTACAGAAGCGGGAAAAAAAACAGTTAACTTGAGGGAATAACAAATTTTTCGTTTACTGTACGCAGTTTTGAGTTTTTTGTTTTGTTATTAGTGTTATTATTTTATAGAAACGTCACTGTCGAAAACGCTCCGGGGTCTAAAACAGGGATGTAATAGACACTGCTACATTTGATCAACTCCGATCAACTGGAACGATGATCCCGAAACTTTATGGCTTACCAAAGATACACAAAAATGGAGTACCGCTCCGACCGATTCTAGAAGGTGTACCTCCCCTTACCATGCCTTAGCTAAGTGGCTAGTAGCTGTTCTGGCACCCATGAGAGGACAACTCGCCAATCACACATCAAAGGATTCCCACGACTTAGTGGCTAGGATTAAAGATAAAAACATAAGCGGATTATGCATGATATCACTCGACGTCCGTTCACCCTTCACAAACGTTCCCATTGCTGAAACTATTCAATATGTGACCACATACAAAGGAATAATTGTGAAATTGGAATACTAGTTGGTAATCTCAAACAACTGCTATATTTTTACACAAACAACATCCAATTCAAATTCAATTATTTTTATTACACATCTGAGTGTGATGAACAGCAGATGGGGCGAACCCCATAGTCACGAAGACCTGTTCGGTGGTGGAGACCGGCTTCTTAAGCCCCGGGACTTGGAGTGGTGAACCATATAAGGCTCCGATGACGAAGTTTATTGCCAAATAAATGGAGCAGCAATGGGATCTCCTCTGGGTCCACTGTTCGCAGATATCTTTATGGCAAAGCTAGAGAATAATATCCTAAAACGAACAATCGACCGTTGCACATTTTACAAACTCTATGTGGATGATATTTTGTGCTTTGTCTATGATAGTGTGCATCTGTCTAGACTCTTGAAAGCATTTAACTCAGCTCATCCAAACATTAAGTTTACTCTAGAGAACCAAGAGAATGAGCATCTTGCATTTCTGGACGTTCTACTAAGCCCGTCGATCAGACGGAACTAACCGACGCGCCATCCACAGGAAGCCATCGTGGAACAATGAGTATATCCGTTTCGAAAGCTATGTGCCCCGGGAACGAAAAAAAACTGATTCATTGCCTCGCTACCAGGGCTCGGAGAATATGTACGGACGATACCATTGATACGTAATTGAGGTTTATTCGAGAGGTTTTCCTTCTAAACGGATACCCAGAACGATTTGTGGACAACATTTCGGGGCGTCACCGGTTGCCAAATAAGATCAATACTGCGAGGAAGAAACCGGTTTACATATCGCTACCTTTCAAGGGCGACACAACTGCCGATATGGTGACAGTTGCAAAACAAGCACTTCCCGC